TATGGTGCCAACATTATAGCACAGGATGAGAAGACCTTTTAGTTTTATATTTTTTATTTTTATTTCCGAGGAGACCTTTGAAAATGGTACTCTGTGTCATATACAAAGTAATATATTGAAGAACTTCCCTGCTTATTGTTTTCCTCTGTCTTAAAAGGCATAAAAGATTGAATTGAAAAGAGATATTTTTTTAACTAGTTGAATTTATGTTTCTTCATCAGTAATGTATAGTGTTTGGGCTGGATAATTTCTTTCTTTCTTCTAAAGATTTATTTATTTATTTTAGAGTGTGTGGGGGGGAGCATATGTGTGTTGGAGGGGTGAGAGCAGAGGGAGAGGGAGTGAGAGAGAAGAATCATAATAATCCTAAACAAGCTCCATACTAGGCACAGAGCCCATTGCAGAGCTACATTTCACAACCCTGAGATCATAACCTGAGCCAAAATCAAGAGTTGGATGCTTAACTGACTGAGCCACCCAGGCATCCTTGGGCTGGATAATTTCTAAGAGCCTTTCAAATTCTGAGATTCTGTGGCCAGAAAGACAGGGAAATAATAACCTGTGTTGTGTCACATCTTTCCACTTCTTGAGTTGGGAACATCCACACATACTAAAGCATGGTTTTACACTATACTTTTTTTTTAATAAGGAAAAAATTATTTCAGAAGGATAGGTTAACAAAGGACATGGTGAATTTCCAAAATTAACTGTGAAAGACAGATCATCTGGGCATGACTGAAAGCCATGCATAACCTTTGTGCTCAGATATTTCATTTCAAAAATGTCACTTTCTGCTTATTCAATGCTACTGTCATTATACTATTTTAAGCATTAAAATTTGTGTTCTGGAGCTGAACAGGAATTATTGCTTCTATATTTGGGCTTATTAGAAATAACTTAATATTCATTCAAGAGCAATAAAAATCACCTTTTTTATTACAGTTGAATTTGGATTAATGTTGAAATTTGCAAGCAATTTTCATTGTCTTTTATTAGCAGTATTTCAGCATCTATGTATATAGATCAAGACTCTTCTTAAGTATTCTCTAAAGAAATGACTGTTTAAACATGATTTCTTCTTTAATTTTTAATTCCCTGGAGTGAGGATAATGTAGAATAAATTATGGGACAATGTCATTTAAAATTTCAGGCTTTGCCTTATATAGGTAAGCTTTAAAAAAAAAGCATACGTGACAGCTGAAACAAATTTTTATTGTTCCATGAATTATTTACTCAATTGCAATGGAGATATGGAATGGGAAGCAGATATTGTCTGGAAAGTATCTTGGTCTCCCGATATGGAAGGAATGAATCTGTTTATTTATCCCGATCATCTGTAATTTACTTAACACTTTATTATCTGAATAATCTTTAATGCTCTCATTTCAAATTTGGATCAATACAAAGAAAGAGGACCAGGAAACACAATGTTCTTGCATTATATGAATCTGCCTGCATTAGGCTCTTTTCATCACACAGACAGAGGCTGAGGGGATAAGCTTGCCCAGATAATGAAGTATTCCTTGGGCAAGCCTGTCTAAGAAACGGCTTCCACTGGTGGGCAGTAGAACAAAGTAGGACAGGGAGTCAGTATGCCAAAGCAAACAACAACAACAACAAACAAAAAGCATTTAGAATTAAAAGCACAAATCAGAGATTAAGAGTCAGACCAAGAAGAACAATCAGAATTATGGGCTGTCAGGTGGAAATGTATCCCTGGGTGCGTACCTGGGAGAAGCATTTTTATATTTAAGTGTAATTGTTCTTCGTGATATGGTTCTAGGGGATAAAGAGATATAGGGCAGGGGCAGGTAGAACTTAAATGTAAAGGACTAAGAGCTGTGTTAATTAATTATTAAAATAACAAAGCTATTTCAAATATTTCAATGCCAGATGATAGCATGAAAGTGGGTGCTCATCATTCAGCTGTACAGCGTCTTTATGCAGGGCTCAATAAATACATTGGTGTCTAAGTCAGTTTGGGATTCCATAACAAAATACCATAGACTGGATGTCTTAAACAACAGGTATTTATTTGTTCTCAGTTCTGGAGGCCAGAAGTCCAAGATCAAGGTGCTGGCACAGTTGGTTTCTGGTGAGAACTCTCTTCCCAGCTTGTAAATGGCTGCCTTCTCACTATATCCTCACATGGTGGTCCTAATGCCACCCACTATGAGGACCCAACCCTCATGATCTCATCCAAACTGAGTTATTTCCCAAAGGCACCATCTCCAAATACCATCACATTGGGGGGTTAGTGCTTCAACACATCGTTGTGGGAGGAATGGAGTTCAGTCCTTAGCAGTGGTGATTTTTGATTATCTAAGAGTCACCCCGAGAGTCACAAATTATATTTCCTTTCCCTTGCCAGACAATATCTGTGCTTGGTTTGGCCTTGAAGTTGTCCTCACAGTATGAATGGACTGTCTGTATTCCTTCCTTATGAACAGTAGCTCTACTTAATTCTATGTTGTGTTCTAGAAGAGAACGTTTCTTTCATCAATCATTCCATAGATATGAAGTGTCTTTATTTAATGTTATCTGCTCCTTTTGGCTAACAGGATGAGTGTTGTTTGCTCACATTTTGAGTGCAACCCAAGCATTGGTCTTGCCCATCCCAAAGGCCACCTTCTAATCTATGTGGGAAGAAGGACATTGGTTCCAAGGTTGTTCACGAGGCTACTGCTTCCCTGAGTATCTTGTCACAGCCAGCTCTATCTTGACCCTTCACTGCCTGGGAATTCTGGGTCATGGCCTTCCCTCAATGCAGTGCTGCTACCTAGGCTTGGGCTCCAATGCTTGAATTCTACTTGTATTTCTTCTATTTCTCTCCATACAACTACTCAAGTCTGTGGGGACATCAGTCTTCAGTGAAGGGTCGAAGAGAACAAAAGTGAATTATAATTTAGAAGGGATAAAAATGATAATCTTATTCTAAATATGACTCTTCCAATATAATGAAACTATTGTTTCATGGACACATTGATTCCTAACCCTCCATTCACGAGCACCTCACTATTCAGACTTCTCTCCTCTAAGGATTCCTCTAACCCCACACCATTCAATCTCTGGAGCCTAATAATCAGTGGCAAATACGTTCCCAGAGTGTGAATTACTTAGCCTAGAATGAGATCCTGAGATGGGAGATGGCGGGAAACAAGCTTTTAGAATAGTCTGGATAGGCTTTTGTTCTTCTAGGTCCTGACTCAGTGTCCCCCCAGTACTAACTTAACTGTATTCAGTAGTGTATAATTTTACTTTATACATCAGGCTCAGATTTTTGTGTATAACCCAATGAGTTGCATAATTCATGACTTTTAACATACCCAGTTGATTTTAAAACCAGTAAAATTTAAGACCAGCGGGAGATACCGAGAGGAGCTATTGGCCCCTTTGGGTCCCTCCTAAAGAACTACTTGGCTATTTTTCACCCCATCATGTCTCTAGGCGTTTCACTTTGGCACTAAAAGACTCCACTGCTATAAGCCCCTGGAGAGCAACATCTAGTTTCTCCTGTTACAAGTTTAAGGGAAAGTCTAGATACAGTAAGAAACTTCCCTTCACAAGGATACTTGACTGTAGTGAGTAACAACATCATTATGGGCACAATAAGACAGACTATTTGGAAGCAGGAATGACCTAGAAAAAGTGGGAGATATAGCCACTTCTCTAGAATATTTGATGGGTTTCTTTTCTCTGAAGTCACGATTAATGAGTAGAGCAGTCGACTAATCTTGAAGCATTTGCTTCTCTTTTTGTAAGTTTTAGAAAAGCTCCCGGGTCATAGTATGCTATTTGAAAAAGAGGATTTCAGGTGTTTCCTGGTTTGTGCCTTGAGACCCCGCCTCCCTTAAGGGTGCAAATTATAGAGAAGCCTATTATTTTCTCAATAGCTTTACACCAACAAGCTATACTGTCACCTTACATTATATGCTACCATTTACCACAAGTAACTTGCATTCTGCTGCACAGCATAATAATGATAATCATTGTAATCATATATCAACACAATGAGATAATGAGATAATAACAAGATGCCAGTGCCTTCCCTGCATGCTAAATAATTGATTTTAGTCACAGACATGTTGCCAGCCTGTTCCACCCTACTGTATGGTGTCAGAGTTTATGTTTCATCACTTACGTGTGCTTCCAGCAGGTTGCTGACTGCACACGTACATATGTATCTGTTGTGAGTCTCTAAACATTATTCTTGAGGCTCACACAACATTCTGTGGATCATTCTCTTGCAAGATACTCGAAGGGGCTCTGATGTGTCTGTGCAACGTACCTAATAAGTGCATTTGGGACGTCACAAGAGATCTCACGAACAAAAACAGACAAATACACCATAGCCAACAATACCTGGAGATTTAGAGATTAACTTGTCTAGCCTCATAAGGTTTTCCACATCCATTTCCCCTGAAGTATCAGACCCATCTGTAGAGAAGTTATTTATCTGAACCAAGGCAGAGATTAAGTCCAGCAGCCTGGGACATTTTTTATCCTAAATGAAAGCAAGATGCGATCGTGTGCGATAGCCACATCATTGAAAAGGGTTCAAATCCCATGGTACTTTTGTGACCATTTGTGCTAACAGAAACTTGATTTTTTTTTTTCTTTTCCTCCCGAGTTTCTCACTTAATTCTTAGAGGCTAATCTTTAGGAAATTTATGTCTGTTTTTACTGAACAGGTTTCATCTTCAGGCTTCCATGTAGACGTTTGAGAGCAGAGGGATGGTTTATCAGTGTCGGGATTACTAGTCTTCGCCTGAAGACACATTTGACTGTTGTTCTGGCAACAGGTTTTCCTCCCTACGGAAAAGTTGCTTGACTTTTGTTTGACCTCTGGTCGGGGCCTCGAACTAGGAACCAAGCCCATCACCACCACCAGGAGTTCATAGCATTTCACCCCCCAAGCGCAGGGCCTCCTCCTTTGAAGGCCTCCCCGACGGTCCTCATCTATTTTTTACCCTCCTGTGTTTCTCCTTTCTCTCTGGCAGTGTCCACCAAACCGAGACCCCACAGCGATGAATATTCAAAGAAGATCCCGCCTCCCAAACCCAAAAGGAACCCGAACACTCAGCTGAGCACCTCCTTCGACGAAACGTACATCAAGAAGCACGGGCCGCGGAGGACGTCGCTGCCGCGGGACCCCTCCCTGTCCCAGGTCAGCAGCCCCGCGGGGGACCCCGAGGAGGAGGAGCCCGTGTACATCGAGATGGTGGGCAACATTCTCCGAGACTTCAGGAGGGAGGAGGACGACCAGAGCGAGGCCGTCTACGAGGAGATGAAGTACCCCATCTTTGACGACCTGGGCCCGGATCCCAAATGTGACCTTGACCATCACAGCTGCTCCTCGCAGTGTGCTACTCCCACCGTGCCTGACTCGGACGTCGCCAAGGCCTCAGTGCCATGCGCTCCCAAGGGGCTGCTCTGCGACATCCCCCCGCCCTTCCCCAACCTGCTGTCCCACCGGCCCCCGCTGCTGGTGTTCCCGCCCGCGCCCGTGCAGTGCTCCCCCAACTCCGACGAGTCTCCGCTCACCCCGCTGGAGGTCGCCAAGCTGCCCGTGCTGGAGAACGTGGCCTACCTGAAGCAGCAGGCGGGCGCGTCTCCGTCCTCGCTGCCCCCGCACGCCTCGGGCCACCCCAAGCTGGACAAAGAGCAGCCCGCGGCCCTGGGCGCGCCCGGCCCCCCCGGGCCCGCCGCGGCCGCCGCCTCCGCGCTGTCCTCCTCCCCGCCCCCGCCGTCCGCCCTGTACCGCACGCAGTCCCCCCACGGCTACCCCAAGAGCCACTCGGCCTCGCCGTCGCCCGTGAGCATGGGGCGGTCGCTGACCCCGCTCAGCCTCAAGCGGCCCCCGCCCTACGACGCCGTGCACTCGGGCAGCCTGGCCAGGGGCTCTCCGTCGGCGCCTCCCTCGGCCGGCCGGCCGGTGTCGCAGGACGCGGCGCGGATGGTCAACGCCGCGGTCAACACCTACGGCCCGGCCCCGGCCGCGGGCGCCTCCCGCTCCAGGACCCCCACGAGTCCCTTGGAAGAGCTAACCAGCCTCTTTACCTCTGGCCGCAGCCTGCTGAGGAAGTCGTCCAGCGGCCGCCGGGCGAAAGACCCCGCGGAGAGTAAGTGGTCGGGGTCCCGGGGAGCCAGGCTTCCCACTGGGGAACCGAAGCGAAGCGCCCGCACCTGCCCCGGGTGCGCAGGTGAAGCGCACGGGGCAGGGCCTTGGGTTCTTGGGGCCGCAGTTTCAAAGTGGGGCTGTTGCACCTGGCCATGCCCGAGCGGAGAGTGTGCATTCTTGGGTTCTTGGGGCTGCACTTTCAAAGTTGGGTTGTTGCACCTGACCATGCCTGAGCAGAGAGTGTGCATTCTTGGGTTCTTGGGGCTGCACTTTCAAAGTTGGGTTGTTGCACCTGGCCATGCCCGAGCGGAGAGTGTGCATTCTTGGGTTCTTGGGGCTGCACTTTCAAAGTTGGGTTGTTGCACCTGACCATGCCCGAGCGGAGAGTGTGCATTCTTGGGTTCTTGGGGCTGCACTTTCAAAGTTGGGTTGTTGCACCTCACCATGCCTGAGCGAAGAGTGTGCATTCTTGGGTTCTTGGGGTTGCAATTTCAAAGTGGGGCTGTTGCACCTGGCCATGCCCGAGCAAAGAGTGTGCATTCTTGGGTTCTTGGGGCTGCACTTTCAAAGTTGGGTTGTTGCACCTGACCATGCCTGAGCAGAGAGTGTGCATTCTTGGGTTCTTGGGGCTGCACTTTCAAAGTTGGGTTGTTGCACCTGACCATGCCCGAGCGGAGAGTGTGCATTCTTGGGTTCTTGGGGCTGCACTTTCAAAGTTGGGTTGTTGCACCTGACCATGCCCGAGCGGAGAGTGTGCATTCTTGGGTTCTTGGGGTTGCAATTTCAAAGTGGGGCTGTTGCACCTGGCCATGCCCGAGCAAAGAGTGTGCATTCTTGGGTTCTTGGGGCTGCACTTTCAAAGTTGGGTTGTTGCACCTGACCATGCCTGAGCAGAGAGTGTGCATTCTTGGGTTCTTGGGGCTGCACTTTCAAAGTTGGGTTGTTGCACCTGACCATGCCTGAGCGGAGAGTGTGCATTCTTGGGTTCTTGGGGCTGCACTTTCAAAGTTGGGTTGTTGCACCTCACCATGCCTGAGCGAAGAGTGTGCATTCTTGGGTTCTTGCGGTTGCAATTTCAAAGTTGGGTTGTTGCACCTCGCCATGCCCGAGTGAAGAGTGTACATTCTTGAGTTCTTGGTGTTGCAGTTTCAAAATGGGTTGTACCTCGCCATGCCCGAGTGAAGAGTGTGCATTCTTGGGTTCTTGGGGCTGCACTTTCAAAGTTGGGTTGTTGCACCTGACCATGCCCGAGTGAAGAGTGTGCATTCTTGGGTTCTTGGGGTTGCAGTTTCAAAATGGGTTGCACCTTGCCATGCCCGAGTGAAGAGTGTGCATTCTTGGGTTCTTGGGGTTGCAGTTTCAAAATGGGTTGCACCTTGCCATGTCCGAGTGAAGAGTGTGCATTCTTGGGTTCTTGCGGTTGCAATTTCAAAGTTGGGTTGTTGCACCTTACCATGCCCGAGCGAACAGTGTACATTCTTGAGTTCTTGGGGGTGCAGTTTCAAAATGGGTTGCACCTCGCCATGCCCGAGTGAAGAGTGCGCATTCTTGGGTCCTTGGAGCTGCAGTTTCAAAATGGGTTGCACCTTGCCATGCCTGAGTGAAGAGTGTTCATTCTTGGGTTCTTGCGGTTGCACTTTCAAAGTTGGGTTGTTGCACCTGACCATACCTGAGCGAAGAGTGTGCATTCTTGGGTTCTTGCGGTTGCAATTTCAAAGTTGGGTTGTTGCACCTCGTATGCCAGAGCAAAGAGTGTGCATTCTTGGGTTCTTGGGGTTGCAGTTTCAAAATGGGTTGTTGCAACTCACCATGCCTGAGCAAAGAGTGCATTCTTGGGTTCTTGCGGTTGCAATTTCAAAGTTGGGTTGTTGCACCTCGCCATGCCCGAGCAAAGAGTGTGCATTCTTGGGTTCTTGGGGTTGTTGCACTTTGTCATGCCTGAGCAAAGAGTGTGTATTCTGGAAGCACTCCCGGTGACAACTGGTACAGTGTGGCAAAGGCCATTAAAAGGAAGAAGGCACTTGTCCAACAGTAGAGTGTAAGACCTAAGTGGTTACAGGGGCTCTAGAAAATCTAACAAAGTTGCACCCATCGCTGAGGCACTTTGAGGGACATAACTTGATTTTTTTGAGACAAATAATATACTTCAACAGATTGATAGATCTTAACATTCATCTTTATCTCATATTAAAAAAAAAACACTTGAGCAAATCTGTATCACAAAGCTTTTGCTGGAAAGATAGCAATTAGGATAGAATTTAGATTTTTTTTTTAACAAGGTGAACTATTTCCCCTGCATACTTTGTGGGGTTATGTTCTTACATTCACCCTAAACTAGAAAAGGCTCATTGTTTCAGCACCTAGAGTAATTAGTTTCTTATTCCTATGGTACTCTTCCTAGATCCACTGATACATAAATTGCAGAAAGATCACCAGTATTAAATAGGTGGTGCACATTATATTTACCACTGAACTTCGAAGACCAGTAAATGTCTCTATCTGAATAACTGAATCCTCTTGTCAACCCCAGATCACTCCATAAACATACAGTAAAGTAAAAACAGACCCCAGTTTTCTCAGTGTCCATTTTATGAAATTACACTGCTTTCCCTTGCTTAAAAATGCCTTAGTCACTTAAACTGATAATTAATCATTTCATCTCAGATTATCCCAACACAGATTTTGTTTATCCCCTCACACAATCAACCTGAGTTCCTTCCTTAATGCCTGAGTGAAGAGTGCATTCTTGGGTTCTTGGGGTTGCACTTTCAAAGTTGGGTTGTTGCAGGAAAAAAAAATCAATACATCTGATGATGAAGATGGTGATGACATTTTTTTAAAAAACAATTTCTTTATTTAATTGAGGGGGGAGGGGCGGGGGAGAGAAATTTTCAAGCAGACTTCCCCAAGAGCAGGGAGCCCATGGGTGGCTCGATCTCAGGACCCTGAGATCACAACCTGAGCCGAAACCAATAGTCCATGCTCAACCAACTGAACCACCCACATGTCCCAGTGGTGATGGTACTTAGATAATCAATATCCATTCCTGTTAGAAGACACATATTCTGTCCTTTTTGTTTGTTTACCCAGAGAGACTTATGAAGGTATTATTGCTTAAATAATCCCCCCCCAAAAAAAAACATTTCATTTACCTTACTGAAAGGCAAAATTTTTTAATCTATTAGACATGTCTTAAGTTATATACATACATACATGAATACATGAAATTACTGTTTACACTGAATTAAAAATGAGGAACAATCTATTTCTAAACTCTCCATTCTCAGCAAGGGCAGTTTGGCCCCTAGGAACTTCTTGCAATGTCTGGAGACATTTTTAGTGGTCACAGCTAGGGGCACTACTGACATCAAGTGGTACTGCTTAAAAGCTTACAAAAAAGATGATCTGGTCCACAGTGTCCATACTGGCAAGTTTGCTAAACCCTGACCTAAATAATTTGTCAAAGTTTAAAGTTTCCTCTAGATGATTGATTTGGTTTAAGCACAAATCAGGAATAAGTTGGAGGACAAAAAGGTGAAAGAAAAAGATTTCACTTTCAAAATATGTAATGGTTAGTGTGAAATTAATGGACATTTCATCCTAGAATTGGTGAAATTATTGGATTTTCTCCCTACCTACCAGTTTCTTTGGAGGATCCTTAACAGCTCCAGCTGGCAGCTATACCAATTAGCTAGAAAAGTATATGTAAAAGAAATGATTAACTAATGAAGTTATTTCAAGAAAAATCCATCTGTTTGAATTCATCTATGTGCTATATGTCACAGACTTCTCCATTCGAGTCCAAAATGAGCTTTGTGTGCTTCTAAAACAAAGCTTATACATGGAAAAGTGATCCAGGCTCTTTATAGCTTTTAGGGATCTGAGGATTGAATTCCTTCCTGTGTTCTATTAACCATGTGTCAACTCTTCAGAGAAAGGACATGTCTTGAGTTACATTAACTTCAATATTTTACTTTACATAAAGGGAAAGGAAGAAAATGCAGATAGTGCAAAGAATAATTTAATGTTATTTACTTTTGACTCCAGAAGAAAACCCTAAAAAAAAAAAAAATCGTAGTAGCAGGGTGCCTGGGTGGCTCAGTCAGTTGAGTGTCTGTATTAGGCTCAGATCATGATCTCAGGGGCCTGGGATCGAGTCCCGAATCCTCCCTGGGAGAGAAGCTAAGGAGGGAGGCTGCTTCTCCCTCTGTCTCTGTCCCACTCGCCCCCTGGCTCCTGCTGTCTTTTTCTCTCTCTGTCAAATAAATAAAATTTAAAAAAAATTATCATAATGGGTCTCAGAATCTTTCTGTAATTCAAAACGCAGACCCAGAATTGCTGGTAATTGGGAGTTAATGTATAATCACTGTTGCAGTACTCCCCTTTATTCTTGCCAGATAGAATTTATAGATACTGCTGATACAGGGACAGAATAAGTGATATGAAGTACTATTCATTCCTAAATCTCAAGGTTTTTTTTTTTTTTTTACATTTCAGGAATAAAATTAAGGCTGGTGTTTCTATTCTCCATTCCCTCTGGCTTTACTGGAAGTGCAAATTTTGATAATTTCCTAATATTCAACTCAAAGCAAATGTAATATTTCTGTTTTAATTTAAAAATCCATGTCAAATAGAATATGTGCCTTAAACTCTTATTTTAATAATCTAAAAAGATACACTTAATTTCATATCTTAAAAGCTTACAACAGTTGACAGAGATTGAGTGATAGGAAAGAAATACAGTAAGAAGATAGTAGTAGACTATGAACCAATTTCATTTCACTGCGTGATTTTCTAATCACGGCCTTCACATTAAGTATTCTAGAAAGTGTTGCTTTCCCTGGTTGATGGGGCATTGTCATGTTGCTTAGCTATAGGTGAAGACACTTCATAATCCAATGATAATAAGCTTTATTTGGAATTGGTTATATAAATATTTCTTAATTTTGTGCAGAGAGAGAGAGTCTACATGGCATGTAAGAAGTGACCCACTTGTATTTT